CGCTCCGGCTGAGTGGGGGCCTTTCGGCCCCGGGGGACGGCGACGGGCTTGGGGGGACGGGCCTGTTGGGGAGTGGGGAGGGGACAGGGGCATCAGTTAGACCCCCCAGTAATGCCACAGAGCACCCCAAACTCCACCCCCGGGGGCACTGCTGTGGGGAAGCTCACAGCTTACACCCTCTGTCCCCCCAGCCTCCCACCACTGCAGCCCCCCTCTCACCTTTCCAGATACCAGGAAGCTGGGGTTTGGGGGCCTGTCCCCCTCCTCCTCTCTGGGGGTCCCGCTGGGGCTGTCCGTCCCCTCCCGGTCCAGCTGCGCGCTCTCCTCTGCTGAAATGGGAGAGGAAGAAACCACATGAATGATGGGGGCACTGCTGTCGGAAGCTCGCAGCCGTGCCGGGCACTGCTCTAAAGCTTAGAACTCCAGGGGCACTGCTGCAGGGAAGTTCACAGCCCTGAGGGCACTGCTGTAGGGAAGCTCGCAGCCCTGGGGGCACTACTGCAGGGAAGTTCACAGCCTTAGGGGCACCGCCCCAGGGAAGCTCACAGCCCCAGGGCACTGTGCCGGGAAGCTCGCAGCCCTGGGGGCACTGCTGCAGGGAAGCTCACAGCCCTGGCAGCACTGTTGTAGGGAAGCTCACAGCCCCGGGAGCACTACTGCAGGGAAGTTCACAGCCTTAGGGGCACTGCCCCAGGGAAGCTCACAGCCCAGGGGCACTGCTGAAGGGAAGTTCACAGCCTTAGGGGCACCGCCCCAGGGAAGCTCACAGCCCCAGGGCACTGTGCCGGGAAGCTCGCAGCCCTGGGGGCACTACTGCAGGGAAGTTCACAGCCTTAGGGGCACCGCCCCAGGGAAGCTCACAGCCCCAGGGCACTGTGCCGGGAAGCTCGCAGCCCTGGCGGCACTGTTGTAGGGAAGCTCACAGCCCTGGGGCACTGTGCCGGGAAGCTCGCAGCCCTGGGGGCACTACTGCAGGGAAGTTCACAGCCTTAGGGGCACCGCCCCAGGGAAGCTCACAGCCCAGGGGCACTGCTGAAGGGAAGTTCACAGCCTTAGGGGCACCGCCCCAGGGAAGCTCACAGCCCCAGGGCACTGTGCCGGGAAGCTCGCAGCCCTGGGGGCACTACTGCAGGGAAGTTCACAGCCTCAGAGACACAGCCGCCGAGAAGTTTGCAAGGATGGGGGGAGCTAGGAGAGGAGGAGGGGCAGACTTTGGGGTGCACCCCCTTACCTGTTTCGTCCGAGGACCTCCGCCTCTCTCGATCCTGCAGGCTGCCTGTCCTCTGCAGCTCCACCCCCTGGAGCCAGGGCAGTAGAAAGGGGAGTCAAGTGGGTGTGGCCTCCCTCCTCAGGCCCCGCCCCCAAATAGCCCCTCCCTCTGTGACTGTAGCTGCAGGCCACCAGGTAACAAGTGGGCGTGGCCTGTCTTCAGGCTCCACCCCTTCAGAAATGCCCCTCCCCTTCCCCCATACCTCTGTCTTCCCATCCAGGCTCCGCCCCATTCCCGGCAGGGCGATGCGCTGGACTTTGGAAGGCTGCAATAGCTCCGCCTCCGAGGAGTCTGACTCCGCCCTCTCGGGGTTGCGGGGACGGTCGGTGGAGGGACCCTACGGACAGAGAGGTGGTTGAACGCAGCGACCTCTGCGGGGCCCTCCCGCCCTGCTGCCCGGGCCCCCCTTCCCTGCCTCCCCCGGGATGGCAGCCCCTTCACCCCGCTTCCTCCGCTGCCCCCCAGCCCGGGGAAGGGGACCCGCACGCTCTGGGGCTCCTCCTCCTGCCCCTCGTCCAGGCTGGCCGAGCTCCGCATGGGCGCCTTGGGCTCCTCTCCTGCCCCCTGCGGGGTGCCGGGGGAGCTGTGGGGGGCCCCCCACACGGTGTCTTCAGCCTCCCGCTCCCCCTTGAGGCTCCGGTGGCGCCGAAAATGGAAAAGCCCCTTTCGCCTCTTCTTCTGCATGGGGGGCAGGGCGTCCGAAGGACCTGGTCTCACCCCGCAGCCCCTGGGGGTCCGGGGATAGCTGAGGGGCAGAGGAGAGGAGTGGGGGTGATCAGAGAATCAGACTGGGGGGGCTCCCTACCCTTCCCCCAGCCCAGTGCCCTCTCTGCCGACAGCAGCCAGTGCCAGATGCCCCGGGAACAGTACAGGGAAGCATCCAGTGATCCCACTGCTGCCACCAACTCCCAGCCTCTGACAAACAGAGGCTCTGGTCACCATTCCTACCCATCCTGGCTGAGAAGTATGGATGGACCTATCCTCCATGAAGGTATCTAGTTCTTCTTTGAGTCCTGTTAACGTCCTGCTCTGCACGGCATCCTGCAGCAAGGAGTTCCACAGGTCAACTGTGCGCTGGATGAAGAAAAACGTCCTTTGTTTTGGTTTTAACCCTGCGGCCTGTTCATTTCATTGGGTGACCCCTCGTTCTTATATCAGGGGCATAAATACATAACTTTTTTTTATTCGCTTTATGCACACCACTAGTTCGGAGAGACCCTTTTGCAGTTCTTCACAGTCTGCTTTGGACTTAACTCTCTTGAGCAGTTTGGTACCAAGGGTTGATGGTCCCACCTGGCGTTATCGGTGAGGACACGCCTGCTAAAAAATTCCTCCAGGCCCTCGTCCAGCCTCGGCACCGTCCCGTTCTCCTGCCGCTGGGGCTCGATGGATCCTGGCGTCCGAGCCTGCTGAGGAGAGGTATAGTATGCAAGGAATTCGCCCCTGTCACTTTAAGACTGGCTCCTCCCTCTTACCCCCCCCATAGGCAAAGGGGAAGTCCCGCCTCCAGTGACTTGGACTTCCTGCCGTAGTCTGGAGATAAAGCTATTAGCTCCTCCCACTACAAGAACAGCTCTTCCCCCTTTCCATCGGAAACTACCTCCTCCAGTAACCAGAACTTCCTGTTTTGGAGTATTAAAAAGAGTAATGCTCAGTTAGCTGCTCCTACTATAAAGCTGGCTCCTCCCCCCTGTACACAGCTGAAGTAGGAAGTCCCGCGTCTTGGGAACCGGGACTTCCTGTTTTAGTAGGGGATAAGTTTCAGTTTCCTGTGTCTGCTTCAGCTCATTACCCCATCAGGCTCTGGGGCTGGAGTCTGTCCAAAAGGTAAAGGCACAGTTGAGGGGAGACAGAGTGAAAAAAGAGACAGAATGAGTGAACAAAAAAGGAGCAGAGAGGGGAAGAGGAATAAACAAACGAATAAGGGAAGGAACAAAAGAATGTGAAAATGAATGGATGGAAGAGGGAATGCAAAATTGAGAGAACGCATGATTAAGCAAATTTGCAAATGAAAAATTAAGCAGAAAAGGGGCGAACAAGAAAAGGAAGGAACGAGAAAGGAAGGAAGGAGAAAGGAAGGAATGAGAAAAGGAAGGAAGGAGAAAAGGAAGAAACGAGAAAGGAAGGAAGGAGAAAAGGAACGAATGTAGGAGAAACGGACTGAGGAAAGGAGAAGACAAGGGAACAAATGCAGCAGAATGAGAGAAAAGGAAGGAATGAGAAAGGAAGGAAGAAGAAGAGGAAGGAAGGAGAAAAGGAAGGAACGCAGGAGAAAAGGAAGGAAGGAAAAAAGGAAGGAGAAAAGGAATGGGAAAAGGAAGGAAGGAGAAAAGGAAGGAGGGAGAAAGGAAGGAAGAAGAAGAGGAAGGAAGGAGAAAAGGAAGGAATGAATGCAGGAGAAGGTGAGAAAAGGAAGGAACGAGGAAGAAAGGAAGGAGAAAGGAAGGAAGGAGAAAAGGAAGGAATGCAGGAGAAAAGGAAGGAATGCAGGAGAAAAGGAAGGAGAAAAGGAATGGGAAAAGGAACGGGAAAAGGAAGGAAGGAGAAAAGGAAGGAATGCAGGAGAAAAGGACTGCGGCAAGGAGAGGAGGGAACGAATGCAGGAGAACGTGAGAAAAGGAAGGAGCAGGGGAAGAAAGACTCAGATGAGCAACCCAGAGATGCCAGCAGAGGCCCGGCGGCACGAGGTGCTGGATGAGGAGGGCGTGACTCACGTTCAGGCGGGGCCCCGGGGGGGCGCAGCGGGGGGGCCGGGGCCGGCCGCGGG